TGACTTTTCCTTTTGAGGCTGGAGACTTTTAAAAAATTTCATCTAATTGTAAGGTGTTATTCATATACATATCCTTGCTCCATCCTACAGGCTCTCATTTCAATTGTTCTTAGCCGATCGATATCTATACTTTGTATGTCAATCACCTTTTTATGAGTCTTTTCACCTCCTCCTACCACCTGAGCAATGCTTGTGTAAGCACATCCGCCCCGCCCAGTCCTGTTCTGCTCTGTCGTACCCTTTCCAGCTTTGTACTGGCTTGTCAAGATCCCCTGCCCCCCTCTTTCCCTCCTCCTGGCGTGACCCACGGATTGTAACAGCCGACCTATAAGCGCCAATACGAGTGCCATTATACTCCAGGTCTAACCAGAACAAATTCATTGCGGTGTCGACGTCGTTTGAACAGCCTCTCTTCCCAATTCCTCTCCATTCTCTCCTTCTCTCCCCGACTCCCTCCACCACGCCTCTCACAATGATAGCATTGCTCCTTGAAGAAGAGCAAGCTTAGTAGGTGGTAGTTCTGCTGGTTTGGGTGGTCATAGAAAGCTGAAATCTGCATATCCGCTGAAAAGAAAAACGCGCTGCTGACATACCCCGTATTGGATTTCCCTCTCGCACTTTGAGTGCATTTGAACTTCCGTCTATGGACTCCTTCTGTGTAATGAAGCTCTTTGTGCTCGTCCGCCTCTGTGCTCTTCTGAAGGCCTAGAACCTCTTTTCAGATGATTCTCCTTCGAGTATGGGTGTTCTCACTGCTTCTAAGCTGCTCGGTGACGATGGCTAAACGAGGCGGTGGATCACATGGGCGGGGACGTTCTCGTTCCCGTTCCGCCTCGGCGCCACGATTCACACGAAAGTGAGTCTATACCAGGATGCTTCCAGATCCTTCAAATCGGCACTTCAGCTTTCAGATACGCCAAGACTGGCTCAATTGAGCGAACGTCCCTGTTCCGATCGACGGTCTTTGGAGCTGCTGCCGGTTACCTGACTTTCAGGGCCGGAAGGCATATCATCAATGATCCCTACCAACCGATTATGTGAGTCTGTTATAGAATGTTCTCCATTATTATACGTATTTCTAGACGAAATATCAGTTGTTATGAATTGGAAACTCTAAGATTTCCGAAATTTCCGAATTCCGATTTCCGACATTGCTGCACAAGCATAGCTTGAGAAAATTGTTTTGGCCCACGGAAAGCTTCTTCTCTAGAGGCTTATAGAATCTCAATTACTCCAAATCGAAAATTTTTCGGCGCTATCACAAGACACGGGGGCATTGTGTGGCAGCGTATTTAAAACCCCATAAAACATCTCATTTTTGTCAAAAACGGGACTAAGGCTTGCGCGACGAAAGAATCCAGGGTGCGCAAGTTACATTCGTTTTCCCGAAGTTTCTGCCCATCCGACGTCCTGGAAAATACCCCGTATTTTGCGATAGCACCATTTTTTCTTTTGTTATCTAGAGTTCATCTCAGGTAGCGTTGAGTGTGCTTCCACTGCCTTTCTGTATTCCATTTGGTTAGCCAAAATTTTGAGCCACGCCGCAGGATGTGAGAACTTTCCTTTGCAGATCGATCAAGGTTTCTAGTCAATCGAAAGATAATTGCCCATCAAAAGGTCTCATCGTAACAATGTCCTCATCGATTGTGACACAGTGAAAACGGTGCTCGTGTCAAAAACTGGCCCTAACCCTCCTCTGCGCGGGTGGGTGAACGAATCCTGGAAGTGCATAGAAAGATTATGCGTCAAATGGGATTTTTCAGCGCTGAAACCCTAAGAATAATGAGCTCTTACGTAAAGTTGGGGACAGTAGGCGTCCAAGGCTGGCATTGAGGTAAACGCTCTTACACATAATTACACGTCGCTCCTCCCCTTTCCCGTTCTACCGCATCTTGCGTTATATTATGCGATGGAATTGGTTTCTTACACATCTTTTTGTCGCTTGCACAAATGCCGACGTATTAGTGTTTCACCTATACCCAGCCGCCTCCTCCACTCTCCAGCATACCAAACCGGACCGCCCTGCGATTCTATACCCTGTTCTCCGCCTTCTGTATCAAAAGATGCAATGTAAAACCTGACAAGCCTCGTCGACGTCATCGCGCGCCGCACCCATAGTGCATACTTCGCGCGCGGCGACGAAGGGCGCCTTGGCCTTCATAGACTGTCCCCAATCTACGCAGATTGAAGAAGATAAGAGGAACCATAATGAACTCATTGCTTCAGCTTCAGAATTCAGGTTTGGCAGTCGTTCGTACTATTGGAACGCGGACCTGCAGCAACCCACGAAGCACTGCCGGTGCAGTGTGTGAACAAGATCGACCCACAGGATCCTCAGTTTGGTAGGGTGAGTATCACTGGGGTGCTGTCCGCAGTATCCGTCGCTACTCGGCAAATTTCAGGTATACTACCCGAATGACACCCGTCCTACGGAAATCGCCTATGGCTGTGCAGAAGGCGACTACTGCTGCGGGATACGATTGTTGTCAGGAAGGAACGTTCTTCACCAGCCTCTTGTGAGTGACTTACTGAGTGCTTACTACCATCAGTCTTTGACATGGTTCCTTGTACCGCATCGAACTAATCCATTCCAGTCGCCTTCTGGTGTTCATTCTGGTGATGTCCGTGCTCGGGGTGATCTGCATTGAAGCCTTTCGATGGGCTCTGAATTGTATATACATGTGTAAATATGGTCACCCACGTGATGTCGAACCGCTTAGCATTTGAATTGTAAGTTTGTTTCGCTTTCGCCACATCCTGTCATGCGTTTTAGACAGAGATTTTCAAAAAAGTGATCTTAAATCAGGATATTTCCCGCTCCAAAGCAGCATTACTTGAAGCATTGATCCCAGATCAAATTGGTGGATTACAGCGGTCGACAGTGAAAATGTGTATGCCGAACCGAATGAAAACGAAAAAGGAACCAAAACGAACTGCCGATGGGGCCTTGGCCAATGACATTCCCTCTCTTCCCCCTTGGATAAGGAAGGGGCGGGGCCGGACGAGTTTTCTGAACTTAGCTTACCTTCACGGCTCCACTAACCGGCGCGTGGTCATGTGGCCAATCACACATCTCGACGACCAGAAAAGGGCGTCGGCTAACAGGCGGACGGACCAGAATTGTCACCTATAACTCCTCATACCACTTTCCAAGGCTAGTTCTTGCTTAAGCGACACTTCATACGTTTTCTACTAGGGCTCACGCTTCTTCTCACTCCATTAGTAACAAAGTACGGACCCAAAGGTTGTTGCTTTGACTCGTTATTGACTTGGTACGCACCACAGATCTGCGCGGGTTATCAAGCCGTCTAAAACTGCCCGTCC